AAAAAGAAAAATACCATCTCTGCCAGGAGGAAGGAGAATAGGAGAATAGTTTCTGGTCTACACTGTTCCTAATATGACGGCATAATAAACATCACTTTTGTGTTGAATAACTTTCCTATCCAGTAGGAAGCCACTGTTGTCTTTGCTTGTTTTTAATCAACAACACAGGTTCATATACAGGTAAAACAAATTAGGCTAAAACCCTTGCCCCATTTTAGGTACCATAACCAAAGATGGTGACGCAACATGCCATGGTTCATCGGGTCCACTGTCAACCATGTATCGATAAACAACTCATTCTAAGAAATGGGATTTTTTTCTCTCTTTCCCCACGCTGGCTCTGTTGGAAAAACCACACTTGTATGTTTGTCCAATGGACCTCAGTGGCAGTCTGGAGGCTCTATTCTTGGTCACGTGGTAAGATGAACAGTTTTACAGCAGTGCAATATAAATACATTGGGTTTAGCTCTCAAATGCCTAAAGCAGCACTATACAAAGGTAATGATAGGTACAGTAACTAGTAATATACAGCACTACCTACCTCTCCGAAAATGTGGTCACATTATTGGTCTTGTAGCTGCTTTGAGAGTGACAGTGGGGTACATCCCTCACAGAGGGAAGTCAGTGTTTACAACAGTGCTATTTTCAGCTTTTAAGCTGTAAATTAAGCTGGGTTTTAGTGGATGTGAAAGCAGAGCATACGCAGCGCAAGCAGCTGCACAGGTACTTCTAGCTGCCCACCTATTTCACTGGGGGTGTTTTTGAAAGCCAAGTGACTTTGCGCAGTTGAAATCTGATCACAACTGCATCCCATCACTATATCAGTTTACTTGTAAACTTTAAATAGAACAACCAAAAACAGCAAAAAAAAATTTAAACCAATTCTACCAGCGCGTCTGGTATTGGCTCTTATTTATATTGGTAATGGTTCTTTATTTATTGGCTCTTGTGTGCTTATGTTACTTTTTATATTTTTTATCCATATTTTTATCCTAAGTGTATATATTAGTCTATTTTTTGCATGCCTTATACCCACAGTGTTTTTAGATATTTTTTATAATTTTATTTACCTATTATATATTATATGTTTCATGTTGCACGATTGTACCATAAAAATTCCTAGTTTGTGAACTCCTTCACTAACAATGGCAATAAACCTGATTCTGATTCTGAAGTGACTTCAAATATTTAGTTTTATCAGTTACTCTTTTAATTACGGCTGTCGTTTGCCTCTATGAACACAATATTTGATTGCATACAAGCCCAGGAAATGCAATCCTTAGTCTGCACAAGTAGTCCTTCAGCTGTAAACTCGACCAGATACACTTAGCCTTTCATCAACTGACTTCCTGCCTGAACGATTTGCTCTACTCCAGATTAACGTGGATTTGAAGCAGCAAAAATAGAATGGTCGCCTATTTAAAAAAGGCAGCCAGTGGCTGACATTGCAGGAATATTTCAGGAACGTGCAGCAACATTTTCAGTGAAACCAGTCTGATCGACTAGAAATCATTTGATCATCCACTACAGACTGGGTGTACTCCACTGCTGGTTTTGTGGTTTTACACCATGGTTACAATGTTTTTAGAATTATACAACAATATACTGCAGTATGCATGTTATTTTTTTAAACTATACTCATTAGTTCCTTTACGTGTTGATGCAATAATTAGCATCCTAAATGAGTTTAAGCTTCTCCTTCAAAGCTAAATTTGATCTACACTGCATTATGTTGTATACTTCCCATTAGTAATGATGATTCTTCAGGGACGTGCCTGAAGGCTTTCTATGTGTATTTACTTTTGAAGACAAAATTCTGAAAAGACTGAGTCTGATTTAACACCTATAAAATCTGTCCAACTCAATTTTACTGCGGGTGTCAGATACAGTTAAGAATATCACAGCTTTGTGATTAGGACTAATCTGTTTACAGACTTCAGACTTCTTTAATGAAGTGACTTCCAATGAGCTGAAAAAAACTGAAATGTTGAGTAATTATTAGATTTCTTTCTTTTTTTAAACCTGTTATAAGGAAAGGTGTCAAAAAAAACTAATTGTAGATGTGTTTTAAAAATGCTGTATTTCTAGGCATCAATTATAAAGTCGCTTTATTGGAGACACATTAAAATCAATACAGTATTTTCTGAAACAACCTTTTCTCTCTTGTCATTTCTATGGCAGCCCTTTAAAGAAGTTAAAACTCAACCTTTTGTCAGATATAGCGTAAACCAAGTCAGTAAGCTGTAAGGGTCAGAAAAATGGGAGTGACATGTGTGACATAAATGTTACAAATACGTATCTCCATTTTTGTATTTCCTAAACAGAAAAGGTTCATGTTTCATTAATAAAAATATTTCTTTATTGTGTCCAAATTTTCTTTTTTGACACAAGCAAAATCTGATATATGAAAGGTAAGATTTGAAGAAGAAAGGAAAAGCCCTCAAGCTCACATATCACAGACACCATAATGTTATTAGCTCTTTCATTGGTTTCAGATATTTTCAGGATGCAAGGCTATTAAGGCTTTCTGCTGTTAACAAAAGACAGGATCAACTAACTGGTAGAGATGACACAGAATGCATTAACATTTATACTGTTCTACTCTGCTGTGGTGACATCACTGAAGTGCCCACTCTCTTCCTTTGCTCCTTAATGCAGTTCAGCCCACAGCCCATTCACCCCTTACTGTGTGAACTGCTGCAGAACAAATTAATGGCCAAACAAAATCCCCTTTGCATATTTTGAATAAGGAAGTAGCCTTGCTCTAACTAATAACAGACATTACCCTAACTCCCTCAAAAGCTTTACATTATTGGGCATGCAGTCAATTTAGATAAACGACCATTTCAGCACATTAAAGAGAGATTACTATCACTGAACTATTAAAATGGAAAATATGGATTGAAAAAGCTTGGATGTGCTCTATTAACAATAGTCAAGAAGATAAATTAATGTATTGTGAAAATAAGAACAGAAGATAAATGCATCTTGCAACATAATTATCTCTTTGCATGTTACAGTGTTTTTGGTGTTTTCCTAAACAGGACCTTAATGTGGAAATTATGCCATCTAGTGGTGCATACAGTACGGCTTTTTTCTAAGGTGATATTTTGGTTCTAGAGACCAAATAGTCAATATCATTCATTAGATAACTATCGATCTATTAATTTTCTAAGCTTATCTATCAGGGCCATGGGGGTGCCATGAGAGAAAGACAGCAGGGCAACACAGAGACATAAAAGCATTCATACACGCCACGAAAAAACATGCAGACTCTATGCAGAAAGACCCCAGACTGGGAACTAAACTTATTACCTTCCTGCTGCAAAGCAACAACCCTACAAACTCTGCCACTGTGGCGCTCCTTCCTAATATAAAAAAATATATATATGTGATTCTTATTAATTGTATTTACATGTGTGTGAGGAAAGTTTTGGGGTTTAGTCCCTTGTCTTTTAAAGTTAATAACTCTGTAATCTGTTAAAATCAGTTCAATTCAGAAATTGATTATTCAGAAACTTAAATATATCCAAAGAGTAAATAAATTTAGTTTTAACAGATTATAACTAAACTCAAGATTTAATTACAATAATAGATTTCTTTATGGTCTTTTAACAAACATAAAATAAGTTAAAATGGTCTACTTGAACTAAGGTTAAGGCATCACTTAAATAAGATATTGGAAAGTAATGACGACAAATATCTAAAAGCATGTATTGGCTTATCCTCTAATTATTATTTGAGATGCACTGAAGAATTAGCTTATTTTTTAAATTGGAAACTCAAAATTCAATTTAAATGAGGACTTTGTGCATACTACTGGTAGTAAAAGACATAAATTTTAAGCCATGAATTTGATAACATTAGAAACAAATAGCTATAATAACAACTATTATTTGTAGTGCACTTTATATTTCTCACAGTAATGTACAGCAGTAAAACATCTAAAATTAGGAAAATAATGAATTGCAATAAAATTCATAAAAGCTGGAAAAGCTGTTCACCCCACCACATATCTTAAGACTGCTATATACATCATAAGATGCGAGAATTTTTTTTTTCTTGCCTTCAAAGCTGCAAGAGCAGAAATAATTAATTTTCTTCTCTCACCTTTCTTTTGGGGCTCCTGCTGCTTGTTCTTGGCACAAAATCTGGTCTGAACTTTTTTTCTTGCGACAATTCCAAGAAGAGCTGTGCGATTGAATCCGGACTTGAATGGGAATTTTTAAGTAGGAAAATCTGAAATGTTCCCCTTTTGTTTTCAGATCAGAAATTCACTCTTTTAATGAGGTACCAAAATCCATTAAGTCCCACACAGGGGTCTGTTTCGCTACTTACATGATTACATTATCTGTTTTTATTTTTGACCATCCAAAAATGTCCAAATGCACAGACTCCCTCTGTCTTTCTGCCTCCTTATCTATCACTGCAGACATTTGAGTGCAAACTTTCATGTGACCTTCAAACATACATAATATAGAGCAAAAACTGTAACTGCATTATGTTTCAGGTTTAATAAATTGCGTTGCAGGTGTTACATATGCCACTTTGCGAGTTTGGAAAATCAACCTATGTTCTGCAGTAGATCAGCTTTGTGTAGCAAAGTTTGCATATGTTTTTTTTATACAAAGAGACAATTATTAGGTACAAAGTTTGCTATCCTCAGGGTCAATGGATTGTTTAAAAAAATGTTTTTCTTTATCAAGAACGGTTAACATAAATGAAAAGTTCTCTGTAACATCTCATTTATGTTAATCATTGCTCTTGATAAAGTAAAACTAATGTGAAACAACTTCCTTTGCTCAAACAAAATGAATTTGAATTACCTATTTATGAGTGCTAATCCTACAAAACTTGAGATGCTGCTGTGGTTCTGAAGGAAACTGCCTAAATTCACTATCAGCAGGTCAGGGGTTCACAAAAATTGATATATTAAAGTAAATGAACAATAACAGATAATATGAATAAACATAGTAAATAATGAAAAAGGATGATCTTACCGTCATTACAAAGTGGTCCTCCAAATGTCGTCATGCTGCAATCACAGCTAAAGCCCTCCCACTGCTGAAGACACACACCCTGGTTGGCGCAGGAGTCCTCTTGGCACGTGGTACTGGGGCCTGAATTAAAAAGTGAATAAAACCTATTAAAAATAAAAGGTAGTGCACTATAAGAAGATTCACAATAAAAAGAATAATAGCAAACATAGACAAATGGTATTTGAGTTAAAGGTTAACACAGAACAAAAGCACAGAAATGGAGGTGTGCAGTCACATCTTGGCTATTACTGCTATTGTTACAATTAAGACCTACCACTATTACCAATTATCTGACATGAGATTCAGGTTAAAAACAATGTATGCCGTAACAATACAAAAACAAATATGAATATGTATAAAAGATAACAAAAAATACATGCATTTTTTAATCTTTTATTCTTTTTTGGGGGGAATGGCTACTCATTCCCTCATTAGTGATTTAAATAGCTAAATCACAAACCAACAGCTATGGATGTGAAAATACAAAACATTTAAAATGAACAGTGATTCAATTTTTATTAAAAAAAAATATGTACTAAATGTTCTTTCAGATTTTTCATTATTTTTCTATATTTACAACGAACACATAATTTATAAATGAATTATATAGTAAATTCTGTCTTATTTCAGAATCTCCTACATTTATAAAAAACTTAAGATATTTCCATACCCTATTGATTTCCTATTATACCGGAAATCCAAATACCACTTTGGGAGAGCTATACTACAATCCTCAGCAGTAAGACTTGAGTTAATCTGTAAACAAATTAGCTTAAACTTATTCATACAGGTTTAAAATAACCGTTCATATTTAAAAACATGCCTTTTCTGACAAGAAGCAACATTGGAAATTTTGAGTGAGCCAGCCAGAGCCCTGTAATGAATCTGATAGAGAATCTGCAGAGGGAGCTAAATATAATGTGAAACCATGGTGACCTTTCAAATTCAAAAGCAGAAACAGGAAAGAAGGCAGTAAGCATTTATAAGAGGAATTTGATTACTGATAGTAAATAAAATTAGAGAAAAAAATGAGTTTAGTAGGAAATGTAGGAAATGTATGATGAATTCCTAGGTAATCTTTATTCAAACTAAAAATACAAACTACTTTTGAAATAAATTAAAATCCTATTGATACATTTTTGTAAAAATAAATTCGCCATTTTAAAGCTAAATATTTTAAAGGCAATCCAGGCAATATAAAAACGCTTGGTTCAGGGTAGTAAGATGCATGCATGCAAAAAAATAAACAAAAAAAAACTGTTTTAAATGCAATAAAATCTTCAGTCAGAACTATTCAGAACACTTGACTGCTATTTAAAAACACCAGTCCCATACGATTTTATACAAGGAGATGGTACTTGTATTCTGATGAGATTGGTGGAGGATTGGTGAACAAGGCAGTCCTCTTGTTAGAAAACATAGAGAAAACTGTGTTGGTAAAGAATGTAGGGGCTGGTGATACTAAAGTGAGATGTGGGGGTTGGAAGGTGGGGTGTGGGCTCGTATTTTAGATGATTTTGGAGAGGGGGAATATAAGACTCCATTATTAGACAAAGCTTTCTACCTTGCAAGTCAGCTTTCGTCAATGCAACTTTTGTTGGCAGAATGATAGGAAATGAGAAGTCAAAGTATAGCAGCGGTTAGTAAGAAGCATGAAAATGTCACAGAGGGACTGACAGAAATATATGCTGTTAGGCAGAATGTACAAGGAAATGATTTGTCTGGAGAAAGAGCAGGTTAAACATTACTTCATATACCGTAGTTAAGGTCTCGATATGACAAAGGTCAAAATACAGGAGCAGCTTCTATCTAACTCAAATTAAAGGAATAGTACACCCAAAACATGATTAGCCTTCATTTTCTACTCACCCCCATGCTGAACAACACTCTGGAGTACTTTTTTGATATCTCAAATGCATCTGGAGATCTGGGAGGCTTCTTGCTGTCTGCTGACATTCAAATAATGGAGGTCCATGGCGCCCGAGACAGAAAGGTCCATAAAAGTCCACAAAAACGTGTCAATATTCCTCCATACTGCTCGTCCAATGTAATCCAAGTGTCCTGAGTGGGTAGCATCCAGAATTTACTCGAAACGAAGTCATTTAGAACGTTTTAGATTCTAAACAGTAGTGTATAGGATTTCCTAATAGCGCCCCCATGCGCGCTCACGATTCTACGGAAGCCGGCAGACCAAACCGGAAGAAAGTGCGCATTCAGCGTCTGCTCTGCCGATAATGCAAGCGTAGAAGAAGAAATGTGCTGTTTACCTGTGCAAAGAAAGAAACAACGAAAGAAAAATGTCTGAGGACTTCAGTGATGAGGAAGAGCATGAGTTCTTTGCCGAGCTGAATGCGCTGGTTTGGTCTGCCGGCTTCCGTAGAATCGTGAGCGCGCATGGGGGCGCTATTAGGAAATCCTATACACTACTGTTTAGGCTCTAAAACGTTCTAAATGACTTCGTTTCGAGTAAATTCTGGATGCTACCCACTCAGGACACTTGGATTACATTGGACGAGCAGTATGGAGAAATATTGACACGTTTTTTGTGGACTTTTATGGACCTTTCTGCCTCGGGCACCATAGACCTCCATTATTTGAATGTCAGCAGACAGCAAGAAGCCTCCCAGATCTCCAGATGCATTTGAGATATCAAAAAAGTACTCCAGAGTGTTGTTCAGCATGGGGGTGAGTAGAAAATGAAGGCTAATCATGTTTTGGGTGTACTATTCCTTTAAGTAACTGCAGGCCTTCAAAGAAACTAATTTAATTTTTCCCCCCACATATTTTCAAGGTCTGAATTGTCATAAAGATTTTGGAACAAAACACCCAATAGCAACCCTTCAAAATAGAATAAATATGTTTTTGTCTGTAATTCAGTTACTGTTTAGTCTGGCACCAATTGATAATGGCAAGTTTGACAGGCCTTCCCATGCACTGAATGGGATTACATTTGTTATGCTGGAACATGAAAAAAGATCAGATGTACTTAACGGTAAATGAGTGGGAGAAAGTAGAATAACCGACTGAAGCTGAAGAGAGAAAATCAAATATTGTCTCTGGATATGGTGCACACATTAGACTGGGCAAATGATATTCATGCATGCAACAAAGGGTTCATCCATAATTCAAAAGGATCGCTTCAGGCCATATATCTCAGATCCAGCAAGCATGTGTCATGTAAAATAGAATAGGGATGAAATGGGAAGCAACATTGGCACAACAAATATGGTGAAGAGAATAATTAGATTAAAGCCAAGTGAAACTGAAATGATCGTCTGTGGAAGAGTGTTGGCGCTTAATGCAGTCAAACAGAATACTAACATGCTTTATGGATGTTAAATTACATGCCACAAGTTACTAGTGTGGCTATATTTTTGGCAATGCCTCAGAATTGGTGTTGTTTGTTATGTCATGAGGATTTTTTTATGATGACATGGCTAGGGGAAACATTGTGTAACTTTTTATTTTTTGTGGGATTAGATAGTGCTCACCTTCACACCCTCTTTCTATCTGTCCCACACAGTCCAGAGCATCTGACATCAAATCTGGGAGGCGTCCGTTCAGATCCACAGATGCCAGGCAACCCTGAAAACCTTCCTTGGCATGTACTAGTTTGGGCAGGTCCTTATACATCTCCTTAGCCACCCCACCTATGTAAAGGTTTCCTGTAAAAAGGTCAGAAATATGACACTGCTGACACCTAGTGGATGTAAAGTGAAAGCTGAGCCCCCCCAATCAAGTTTTTTTTTTTCCTTTTTTTTAAGTAATAGCAAATAGCAAAAAAATCTTTTGTTGCCTATGTAAGGTTTTAAATTATCATGAGGTAATTACTAAATGTCATATAAAGTCCAAGCCATATATTTGCCAACTGCTTTGTCTTGTGCTATTCATAATTTCTGAGGAACCAAACTCCTTCAGGTAGAACACAGTACATTTCAATTCCAATCATACCTGCTTTCATGCAGGTAATAGACCATTACTTCAAATAAACATTTTCCTTGACTGTTTAGCTCAGTACAAAGGGTGCCTTCTATGAACTGTCTGCAATATGTCCACATAGTTAGACAAAGAAAAAAAAAACCTGCTGAATTATTTCTCTTAGAAACACATGGACTAAATTTTCCTCTTCCATTCCAGGGGTGTTTTTTTTGTCTGTTATAAATGTAAATCATAAACCCACTACTTACTTAAAACCTCTGGTTCCTCCATGATAATAAAAAAAATCTATTACATACATTATACCACACACATTTTAAGCAACAGTTTGAATAGTTACACTTTGCTGTCTGCCACCCAAAACAAAAGTTGTTGAACGTAATTCAAATATAATTTCTTCTCCATTGCAAAACTACAGTTAAGCTTAACCAAGACTTTACATTTCGCGATGTCTAATGCTTTAAGTTAATAATTTGTTATTAACTGCATTGTTATTTATGTTATTTATGTTGAATACTTTTTTCCTGAAACCTGACAACTCTTTAATGGAAGCTAAGGATGTTCTAAAATGTACAATATAGGGAGACACTTAATTAAGTGTCTGGTTTCTGTATAATAATTCTGAATGTGCACTTACCCTTCAGGTCCAGATTCTTGGCTCCTGAAGTTGTCTGCGTAGTAATCTTGGTATCGATCTTGACTGTGTGTAGATTGTTAGTGTCTCTGGAGATTATAACATTGTGCCACTGGTTGTCACTAAGAGGTTTATTGGAGTTTCCTTTGATGAGGTGGGCTCCATTCCCCAGGTCAGATACATAGTGAAGATAACTAGAGACAGGCATGAAACAGTATGAACAAACGTGAGCACACTTCAAAACAGGAGTCTCAAACTCTTGAGGGCCAGTGTCCTTCTTCTTTTTGATGTAGAACACCACCCTAAGCACCATAATCAAATAGCTTAAGTACTTAACCAGCAGCAATAGAGCTCTACTAATGAGCTCATATTGGAGTCATGTGTGTTGGAAGAGAGGCACATTGAAAAGGTGCATGACACCAGCCATCAAGGATTTGAGTTAACCTTTGGAATCAGAATAATATGCTACCATTTCTGGCAAATATAAAACATTACTGCTTTAAAGTATTCTGAAGTTGTACACCACAAGTCAAGTGGAAATGTACTACGGAACTTAAAAACTGAAGCAAAAAATGTTATGTGTGTAGTTGCTGGTGTTTTGTTAATTCTAAGAAAGCATTATATTACAGAAGTGCATCCTGGCTTAAAAGCCTAATATTGAAAGTTTGCTCCAGTACTTGGCAATCAAATTAACAGAAAGCTTACATTTTGTGCACATTTAATACAAATGCATGGACACACTTTTGTGAAGCTGACTCTCTTAAATGGTATGTATTTCCTATTCCTCATGAAGATTCAACGCACAGCACAAGCAGACAGTTCAAGAATTTTTTTTTTTTTTTCACATTAGTGTTCCTCAGACATCAGAAACATTTTTATATTTCTGGATTTTTCCTATATATTTCTATATTTCTATTTTTCCTTTCTGGATACTTGTTAGAATGTATTAACCACTAACCATAGCAATTTGGGTTTTTTACACCCTGGAACAGCTAATTGGCATCAAGTTAGAATAACTCCAAGCCCTAGCAAGAACCCAGCAAGAATATTGACAATGCAGCATTACTGTATGTGTTTTTACTAAAAAGTGGCTGCGGGATCATATCTCGGACTCCAACGTCTCTCTGCCAGGCTTTCTGACCATACAAGCAGACAGAGATTTGAAGAACTGGAAAACTCAAAGGAGGTGGGTTGGCATTGCTTGCGAGCAACAAATGGTGTCATTTAGGACATGTTGCTCAGAAAATTCATCAGCGCTGCCAAGATATTGATCTGTTGCCAGTTGTTTTTTTTTAATAACCGTTTATTGTCCACCTTCTGCCATTGCCGGCAGTGCATGTGAGGTAACCACCAGCTCTATTGTTACAAGGCTCCCGACACAACAGCCAAATGCATTTGTGGCAGTAACTGGCAATTTTAATCATGCCTTACTCTCTGCTACACTGCCAATATTCCAACAGTGTATCAGCTGCAGTACCAGAGAAAACAAAACTTTGGTCTTGTTTTATACAAATATCAAGGACTCCTCTCTAAATGCATGTCTTAGGTAAGGCCTTCTCTTGAAAAATAATATCACATCTTGTTTTTTTCTGCTTAGAGTATAAGACACTTTATAACATATAACCTATATTAAAAATATCTGTAAGAAAATGGTCACAGTAGGCAAAAAAAAAAAAACCTGCCAGGTTGTTTTGAGGCTACAGACTGGGCAAATTGTCCGCCACATGGAGAGGACTTCACTGCAATCGTTGAGTTTGTGATTAATTTCATAAACTTGTGTGTAGATAATACCATCCTTACCAGAGCAGTGAAATTGCTACAAAATAATGAGCCATTGATCACAAGTGATCTGGAGCAATTGCTCAACAAGAACAAGCAAGCCTTTAATAAGGGAGACAGGAATTAATAAGGAGTATACAGAAGCAACTTAAGCTCAAGATAAGAGAAAGCAAGGATGCATACAGGAAGAAGCTGGAAAGCAAACTCCAGCAAAACAATATATAAAGATGTGTGGTCAGTGATGAAGAAGATCCCAGGCTTCAAGCAAAAGGATGGAATGAACTGAAAACAGTCCTCAATAGGTTTAGTTCAGGAACAGGCTCAGCATCCATCTCTCTTGCCCACAGTCACACAGACATCCTGCCCTCTTCTGCCATTGACTCTTCTGTATCTATCAGTTTGTTGTCAGCCAAATGATAATTTTTCTGTCTGTTTCACAGGCATGTGCAGAGCAGCTCTGTGGGATTCTACAGCACCTCTTTAACCATAGCCTGACCCAAGCGACAGTTCCACTGATGTGGAAGACCTCCTGCCTTGTTCCAGTGCTAAATAACATGCAGCCAACAGTCCTCAATGACTATAGACCTCTTGCACTGACATCCCACATCATGAACGTCGTAGAAAAACTTCTGTTGGTTGACTCCAGCAAGCAAACAGGCAGCTATAAGGACCCCCCTACAGTTGGCTTGTTGCTGTGAAGTTGGAATTGAACCTGCTAACTCCCTGTCACTTAGAAAAGGCAGACAGCACTGTGAGGATTGTGTTCTTTGATTTCTCCAGTGCATTTAACACAACTTACTTTGTGAAATAATCCAGAAGGTGGAGGCATTAACCATCACCTGGATCAAAATCTACCTGACAAAAGAACACAGTTTGCTAGACTGAGGTCTCAGCAGTATCATCGTATTGTAAGGAGCAAAGGAACACCACAGTGGAAGGTTCTCTCACCAGTCCTTTTTTATTCTGTACATCTCTGACTTCCAGTGACTGACATAGTCCTGCTGACTGAAGAAATACTCGGATTACTATGCAGTCAAAGATGGACAAGAAGCTGTGTACAGAGAGCTGGTGAACTGCTTTGTGGCATAGTGTGGAAAGAGTCCTCTGGTGCTGAATGTCAACCAAAAAAAGTGAGATTATTTTAGATTTCAGAAGAAAGGAACAAGTTGAAAGGAACAAGTTGAATCCTGTTCACATTATGGGAGAAGATGTTGAGGTGATGGAGGAGTAGAAATACCTCTGTGTTCAGCTGGACAACATATTGAGAGGCAACTGTGAACCATCTACAAGTAAGGCAGAGCAGACTGTAATTTGTAAAGGAGTTTAGGTGCTTCAACGTTTGCAACAAAATGTGGCATATCTTCTATAAGTCTGTTGCGGAGAGTGTGATCTCTTCTGCCATCATCTGTTGGGGTAACAGTATTAGGGCTAATGTCTTCAAAAAGCTCAATAAGCTAATAAAGAAGGCCAGCTCTGTTCTAGGAACTTCTCTAGACTCTCTGCAGATTATTTCACAAAGAATTCTTCATAAAGTGAATAAGATTATGGACAACAGTGGGCATCCTCTTCAGAAGATTTTTAAACGACAAAAAGTGTTTTCAGTCAGAGCCTTCTCCAGATCCAGTGCAAGACAGACCCTACAGAAGATCCTGCCTGCAGCTATCAACACCTTCAACAACTGGATAAAAAAAACTGACAAGAACAAACAAAACAAAAACCCTATGAGTAGCTGCAATATTTAATTTCCCTTATTCAAGTATTTTTTAAATGACTGAATTGAATATGTATGATGATTTTAATAAGAAAAGGAAGGTGAAGCCAAGACAAAAAAAGGAATTTTTTCAAAAATATTATTCAAAACAACATAATGAACCTTTGTTTGGAGTTGCTGACTATTTCAACATGAGCTTATAATTACTTCCATTGGAAATCGAGGGTGAGTTGGACAATGCACTGCTGCCTAAAAATAAAAAACTGTGACCAGAGAAATAATGTAATGTAAAAGAATAGCAATTCTAAAAGCAAACATATAGGAGTTTAAGTGTTTTATTGCTCTCTGCAATTTGTTTTTCGTGTTAAACACTAAACATGTTTCACTCTAAGACCAGATTTCACAAAGGAAAATAATAGTAGATACACACTCCCTCCTCCCTCAACTTCCTGTGTAAATAATCGAAAGCTTTGTTTAAATAATGCAAACGTGATATTTTAAAGGTTTAGGAAATACCATCCACATGCACTACTTGATGCTTTTGATCAACATATCTGGATATATACTGAGGATGTCTAGAGAATTATCTAGCCCAACGTAAAATCTGATTTTAACAGAATTTTAACAGAACCTCAGCAATGATGTTCTGAACACTGCCATCAACCTAAAAAACTTCCAATAAAGGCACTTGGTGCTTTATCAATATTTAATGAGAGGGATGGATCCACCTACCCTTTGACCAGTTCCACCACTATGAAATCATTTCCATCGCCACTGTTGTAGAGGATGAGACCATCAGGAGATGTGGTTTTAAACTGAAAGAAAAGGTGCATCGAGTAGTAGGCCTGCAGAGTGGTGAGAGTCACATAGCTGGAACGTGACTTGAAGGTGACCGGATCAGCAATAATGTTCTTGAAGCCAATCATGGCATTGAGTTCACAATAATCAATGTCACCATTTTTGCACAGGTCAATGTAAGCCATGCCATTGAAGGAGAGGCTTTGAAGGTGGCCAATGAAGTTAGATGGCACCAAGGACATGAAGCGCTTCTCTGTCACGATGCCGGTCTCAATGTTATGAAATTCCAGCTGGGTGTGGTCACCTGCCATTTGACCTTCAATTTAAAGGGAAGGAAGAAAAGAAAATATTATTGGGGTGTAAATCAAATTTAAGGGGAAGAGCTGTGAACTTAAGGCTCCAAAAATTTCATCAAAGTGATTATGTGATGTTAACACAACTTGTGACATTAGAAAACAGGTGTGTATGCCTTTAATTTTGGATTAATGTTTTTTTTTTCCGAAGAAGGTCCGAATACAATTTCTTTAATGTAGAAATATTTATATTTACGTTACGAAAATCAACCCCAGGACATAAGCAATAGCTTCTAGAATTATTCACAGCTTATATATATATATATATATATATATATATATATATATATATATATATATATATATATATATATATATATATATATATATAATACTATAATAATTACTCTTTCAAGTTGAGTAATTTTGTGATTCATGATACTGCCACCACTATGTTTCACAGTAGGAATTGTGTGTTCAGGATGATCTGTAGCATTAATTTGGCCTTTTGTATGTAGGGCACAAAATTCAGCTTCAAACCAATTTGTCAAGATCATTTGTTGTATTTCCTATATGGCTTGTGCAAAATGCTAACACCACTTTTTATGTTGTTCTTTCAACCATGGGTTGTATCATGCAAATTTTTATTCAGGTCATACTTGAACATGCCAAACCTAATCTATATTGGGAAGCGATTCTCCCACCAATGAGGGGAATCTAAGCAACTTCATCAGGTTTAACCTCTTGGTTACTCAATGGATTAGTGGACCACGTTTTGTTAGGCTTTATGCTGTTCTTTATGCTTTCATTTTTAAATGAAAGGTAGCTCTAGTATAGTGAATTTACACAAAGCCAGATTTATATTGATTATTTCCATCGGATCTATAGGCGTCATAGTGAAGGAAGGGTTAATAGAAATACACCCTAAATTCTATTTCTTTTATTTAAAACCATATATGATTTTCCTTTCACTTTATATGAATACTTTAGCAAGGCACAGTACTGACCTAGAAACAGAAGACCAAACAAACCAACCAAATCCTTGAGTAAATTACTCTGCAGTTGTTGTTTTTTCTGTTGCATGGGTTTACTATAGGTAGACCCTGAGAGCTGTAAAAGTAAATAGAGAAGACTAAAATAAAGGATTAGAAGTACCTTCCACAGGCGGTAGTTCATCTACAGTCAGTTTCAAACTCTTGCCTCTCCTGAACACACGTACGGTATGCCACTCATTATCGTTCAGGTTCTGACCCGCAAAAATAGTCTCTGGACCTTTGCCTGTGGGACAGTCCAAAAATGGGTTAAAAACACCCATGCACTCTAACACACATGCAAGAGAAAGGTTAAATGGTAATACAAGGAAAACAATCGTTTAGATAGGAGACAGAAAGAACGCCAGAGAGAATGACGGAAACAGTTAGAGACAGGAAGTAAACATAGTAAATGGTCCATTAACGACATCACTCTAAACTACATTTGCAGCATCATTAGACATAATTTCTAAAGTACTAGTAAGCACAGTTTTCTTTAAATTACAGTATCATTATTCAGTATTGTTGTTAAAAACAACCCTGGCATTGTCTTTCTCTGCCCTTCTGTCTTTAATTTAAACAAGAATCCAATTGGTTTTGATTCTGTCTTTATGCTCCACTTGGTGGCAGCAAATACCTTCCAGAGTTATACATTTACACAAAGTGCCTTACAAACAAGAATAACTCTCCATCTTGTCAACCAACAACAGCTATTGCCTTTCTTTAACCTTCATGTAGTGAGAAAAATAATCATTTTGATCAGCTGCAGTAAGCTTGGAGGTAAAACAAAAGCAATGCAGAAAAACAGAAAACCTAAAGAATATCCATAAAATCACTTATAGCAAGAAAATTGGAAAAAAGAAAAGAAATACAGAATGTGATTTTTTTTTTTATAAAAGTGAAAATTCTCTCTGTTTAAAATTATTAAAGAAGTATAGCATTTAGTTGGCAGTAATAAATGTGTCATTTTTGTATCTATCTGAATACCAAATGCAACACTAAAATTGCATAAAAGCAGCTTTGCAACTAGGGAGAGATGGAGGTGTCAGACAGCTAATAGGCCAAAAAATATTTAGAATTGCAAATAAAGATCAGAGGTCATGTTTTAAATCGGTGGCATCTTACCTCAATAATAAAAAAGTGGAATGTTTAATTCATAAAAAAACAGAAAACAAATTAAAACTGGGATATCTAAGGCCAAACATGCCATTATTTTTATTAAGTGTTGTTCACGGTGAAGTTTTTAACCACTATATTGCACTGATGTTCTCCTGCTGGACAGACATAACAAACAGGTCAATGAGGTTATACCACAGCGATAGCATTTTAATTGCCCAGGATCTGGATCTATTTTACACTGTCAGAAGTATTTCACAGGTGTGTCCAGGCTCATGCACCTGAACCCATTTTTGGGGTATTTATTTTCTGCCTCTCTGCAATCTCCAAAGCTTCAGTGCAATGTGTATGCAAATTTGAGGGCACCACAGTACCAGGACACCATAAGTATCAGAGGCGCAGTACTGCTTTGTAAGCACTAAACACTGGGGCAGGGTTGAAACCAGGCGACTGGTGAGGGATTAAGAAGGAGAGATATGAAATAATGGGATGGGGCTGAACTTGAAAGCATGCTTGATCTTTGCCTTCTATCATTCATGTCCTTGTTGCTCTCCAAGGAGGGAAAGAGGAAGAAGATAAAGAGGGCAATCATTTGCACAAAATTCACTGCAGCAAAGAGTGTTATATGATAATTTACAGAGTATTTTTTAACCTAGTTGGCTTTGGTTATGGAATATTTCAGTATAATTGTATTAATAGAGGAGCAAAACATTTCAGTAAGGGGTTGCAATAATGGTATGAGAACATTTTTGGACACCAAACCTGCAATGCATGATCATATTTATAAATAGATTGCACAGATATGCAACTGCGTGGAAAGGTGAAATATATCCCTTTTATTTTTATTCTATTTTTTTTCACAACTAATGATTGATTGAAAAATTTTCGATTGGAAGTTTAAAGCTTTCAAATGTCTCCAAAAATGCCCCAAAGTTATACATTTTTTCTAAGGAAATAAGAAATAGCTTGGATTGCCTTCTGTTAGGGGCAACTTTATACGTTTGGTTTAGCAAGAACGATTAATTTTCATCCGTGCAGACAGATGATTTTGAAACTTTCCAATTATGAAAGAAGAAGCTGAGTAAATTAGTTAGCATAGCAACATGCTTCCCATATATAATATGATCATATTGATATTTAAGTTGCTCAATGCCAAAGAGATTTCCAGAGTTGGCAAAACTCTCTCCATGGGAATGACCCCGACACCTTGCTCTTACCTGTAACAATGCACTCTTGGGCACTTACATGACAGAAAGTCAGCAGTTAGAAATCCATGTGATGGAAACTAACAGCGATGCCTTTGGCAATGTAGGACTTTTTGACCAATATAAGACACTGTGCTAAAACAGTTCAGTTCAGTTCTAGAATAAGCCGTACAGTTAAGTACCCACAAGGAAGCAATTATTTTAGCATTATGATTCTGTTTTCCCAGGTGGTGTAGGAGCACAAAATTAGACAAGAATTGTTGCTAGACATGTTTATATGTTTAGGAAAAAAAAAATTTTCAGCACAAAATATATTTTTAAATTATTCTTTGTATTAGAATTTTAGTGTTCTTTTTTTTAATGGGATGTTAAAAGTCAGTTATGGACCAAATTTATAGACTAAATAAGGTGCAGATCCACTGGTACAAATGAGTTTAAATACAAAAATGTAGATTTACTTTAGTTTATAGTCTAATGTAATTCAATTCTGTTTATTTATATAGCGCCAATTCACAACACATGTAATCTCAAGGCACTTTACAGATACAACCAAATACAGTCAAATTGATTCAATGTTTTCTATCTAAGGAAAACCAGTTGATTGCATGAAATAATTGACTTGAAGGCAATACCTCACACCAAGCATGCTTGTAGTGACAGTGGAGAGGAAAAACTCCCTTTTAACAGGAAGAAACTTCCATTGTGAGCGACACTCAATGTCATTTTTGATTATTAATATGTTTTACGATATACATAATGTGTTACATAAACTGAGTTTATTTAACCGTTACTATGATCAGGTTTTATCAATTATCATTGGCTAAGAGTTTGCATCCGGACTGTGTGCTGTATGCAATAGCTAACCCAGCCAGGGGCCAGCTAATCAGTGAGTTAATATTACCTTCTAAAATTCTGCAGAAATGTATAAACTGCAACACTGTAAGGGGTGCAGAGTACTTTAGCTGATACTGACTTTAAAATGTATCTCTACAAGAATTTAAATGTCTTTAGCTAAAACTGTTTTGGAAATCATTTTCAAAATGTGACATATTTAGAACAGTGCAATTACTAAAAATTTACTCAATTGTCTTGGTCTCAGTATAAAGAAACCATATAAGAGTTCAACCAATAAATACATTTTAATTGAAAATTCAATCTGAAAGACTTATCAGCCTCCTCTTGAGCACCTGCTATCATACGTCAAGCTTTAGCCAGTCAATGTCGGGATCACGCATTCTCTGAAGTCAATCACATTTTAAGAATCCACTCATTTAGCTTCTGGCCTAGCTTCCCTGCTGCATGCCTGCAAACTTTCACCCACCTCTGCCCCATCTCCTCCCTCACTCCCAAGCTATTCTCGGTCTCCTTCATCCTCAATCTTCTTCCACTACCAGTTTCCGGGCCCAGGGGGGAAGACTAATCAAAGTCTTCTGCTGGGGCCCGAACACCAAAGAACTCATTTCATATATGTCAATAAAACTTTTCTAATTGCAGCTTTTCTCTAGGTTAGTCTCTCCAGGTTGAAATTCCATACAAAGCAAGATTGCAGCACAAATGTGTCCACTTTAGCTTTTGCAATGTTTTACTTGCAGATAGGTATTTTTATAAATGTTTGTTTAGGATTTTGCATGATACCAAGAAATTGTGGTTCACTTGATTTTGAATGTAAAACTATTCTGGTAAAAAGCTGTAAGGAAAAACATACAGTTATGTAAGAAACCTAGACCAACAGATCTATATTTTTTATATATGTGTATTAGTGTTATCTAACTTCTAAGAAAATTCCTTAAGTAATCACTTGTGTAAAATTGTCTGATTCTGTTTTTATTGTTATCGGTTTCATAAGAGCAGCAATCTATGATATCTCCATAGCATTTATAAAACTATATTTTATTCCTTGCTGTGTGTCATTTTACCGTTAGCATTTTTAACACAATATTTATCTTTTTGGTTTTCTTAAGTTAAGAGACACTTGGTTCTGTTTTTGTAATAGCACTATCATTAAGAAACAATATAAAAGGATTTTTAGGCAGGTTTTTCTGCAAGGATCAATAGCAGCAGCTAACTTCCTTCCTGATGGCATGTCCATGATGGCAGAAATGAAAGCGCAGCATTAGAAAGTAAGATTTCCACATAATCAGTTCTGGTTTGAACCCAGGTCAGATACTGTGGAACAGCCTTTCTCGGGACCTTTACTAACACAAAAGAAAATGATGTGGCAAGCATAAGGTCAGTGTGCTCAGTTACTTTTAATACAGAAAACTTAAGCTGACGTTTGAGCTGACCAGCTTGTTTAAATCAGTTCCTAAATGCTGCTTAGATACTAATAATTCTATTGAAGTCTGTAGGTTGTGCAGCATTTGGCATGACAGTCCAGTTCTTAGTACGCAGGGTAAGGCAAGCAGTTACTGTAGTCAGTATGATTATTAAAAGAAAAAAAAAACATCTAAAAAATGTTTAAGTATGCCAGTGGCTGAGGTATATTGTATTTCACTTTTTAACAGCATTTTTATTCAACCTTATTTGTAATTAAAAATCATCATCAAAATGTAAATTATAAACAGATTTCTTGGGAATATTAAGTGCTGCTCTCTGCCCTATAGTCTATTTTTTTTTTATGCATATAAGATTATTTGTGAAATTCAAATGAAAGTATATTCTGTTTGACTTCAATTTGTCTGCTCTGCAAATGTATTACCACTAGCCTTTTCCACTGAGTTGCTTTAAAACAACTAAACAGTTTGTTTTATTGCATGACTTTAAAGCAATCTCTTTAAATCATACTGCACAGTAGATGCAACAGTAAACTTTTAAAACAGAAATAACGCTCATAGAAATTTCTTATCTCCCCTGAACTTTAATAACCAGCATCTGGTACCACTTCTATTTTAAATTTCAAAAAAACTTTTATATCATTAAAGCTACAGTGTGTAATTTTCAGCAACATCTAACGTCCAGACTGCAGACCGCATCAACATGAACATCTCCCCCCCCCACTGCTTCTCCCCCCCAACAGTACGGCGAGCGTTATGGGACAAAATGTCTTCCACGATGTCCGCATCACCTACCTTCTCAAGTGATTAGGTTTGTTTACATAGATAATTTTACAGATAGTATTTATTAGTATCTATAGTAGTATTTAGTATCTATTGTTCAGTACCGTCTCAGTTCATCTCTCTCAACTTGCCGTAGTTACTTTCAAGCGTAATGGGCGATCTTGCAATCGCTAGTTTGTTGGCTCTGCGCTGCCGTAGCGCAAAGATGTCTGCCTCCATGGCTGCGAGACCCGCTCCTATGTAATTATAAATAATGAATTCTAAGGCAACGCAAATATTAAGGTTAAGAGGCTGAGCTCGTAGATGATGATAAATAACATAGTTATGTATAATATATTACATTTCTGACTGTATATCCCTGTAATCATTACAAACTGTAGCTTTAAATTATATTACCTCTTATTAACCACATAAATACTTATTTGTATCTTTTTTATATAAACCCAGTTTACTATGACATACTGTTTAAATCTACTTTTTTGCACACAAACTGTAATGTTTTCAAGTGTGCAGGAATATTTTTAAACATTGATTAAATTTGAACAAACAAACACTTTTTGTGACTTTTCAAGACTATTTGCTCTGTCCAAACATAATTTTGTCATTTAAACCTAAATAAAGAAATATAGTCTCTTTATCTCATAAAGCTTTGTTTAAAGCTACGTTTTGAGATCTATTCTTTTTTGGCAATACCAGAGAACAAAAACGCGGAGGTTATTTCCTCTTATCATGAATACCTGGAAACCTTTTTCAAAATGCATATTAGAATCCATAAATCCATAAATGAAAGGATGATAGGGTTCCTATTTTAGAAATATAGTTGATATTTTTTATTACTTGTGTATTTTAAATGACAACGCAAAGTTAATCCTCCTAAATTTATAATTTCATTACAATCAGTCCATAATTTTCTCTTTCTAACAGGCACATAGGTGTAAGGTCCAGAAGAAAAAAGTATTACTCTGAATTATTATTCCGTTTGGAAGTTTATAATAGGATACTTCTATGTCTATACACATTAAGTCATGGGACTTGTGCCATTACTGTTAAAGAATATGGCTGGTCTAGCTGTACATAAAAGCAATGAATCTGTCACAAGGTACTGTAGGTCATATTTCCAGTTAGCTGTCACTTAGTGTTTGTTAACAGTGTTTAAGCTGTAGTGGCAGTATTGTCTTCAGACAGTTCTGGGCTGCCCCAGGGACCCTAGATCTCTAATTGACAGTGATGTGTTCTTTGAGTTGGTGTTAAAATTTCTCATCCAGGAAGCTGACCAGAGCCGCAATGCCTGACAAGAGACATTAATTAACATTGAAAAAAAAGAGGACAAAAATAACTACCTAGAAAAATGTTAAAAGCTAATTCTTCATGAGTGGAAATTCTCTGGTCTAACACAGTTCTTTCCAAGACCTTCAATTAAGCATTTTTCTACGACACAATCAGGTCAGAAACTATTAAAGGAAGGTTTACTGTTTCTGTGTTCTTGATTTATCTGAATATAAGGTTTCCCTTTTTCTATACAATGGCTTGTTAATTAAAATTGAACATTGCTCTTATCAAAACAAATTACTAAAATATCGAGGTTTTTATTTACCATCAATTACTTTGCATCAAGGGAATACAATTATTACCATGCAGGCTCAATAATTACCATCTTAGTGGCAGTTAGTTGTACCTAATTGGTAAACACCTGAAGAGAAAACAGTTAGGCACAATTTAAATGTTGTGAAAGTAAAGTGAGGATTTCTTTTAAACACAAGAAAGATAAGAATAAGTAAAGACTTTTTAACATGAACACATCTTATGACTTAGCCACTGTAAACCAAAGGTTTTTGACAATGCTTTTATTTTCACTCCATAAAAAGCTGTTAACTTAACCATTCAGTCAGATCTTTGCAGTTTTAAGAATTGTCTCTTTTTTCTGTTTAACTGATATTGTCAATAATTTTTTTTTGGTGTCAGTAGAAGGATGAGCTGATTAACTGTAGAATAACAACATTATGCTTATATGTAGGTCTTTTGACTTTTAATATTTAACCTCCAAGCGGATTAAATAATATAACACATTATTATTATTATTATTATTATTATTATTATTATTATTATTATTATTATTATTATTATTATAATTTTCTCTTCTTTCAATGAGCCCTAGGGCAGCAGTGGCTTGCCACCATCAGTGTGTGAGTGTGTGCATGAATGGGTGAATGACTGAGTACAGGCCATTTACCATTTTCAGTGGAAAACCAACAATGTAAGTGTTTGTTGCTTTCTGTAACTTCCTGCAACATAATTGATCAAAACTAGCACATTAATAAATTGTGTAAAAATGTTTTATCAACAATCTAATAAAGTAAGCTCTAAGAAACAGACAGAAAAGTGCAGACAGAAATTAGTCAGCTGCATATACTCTATTTTTCATAAAATATAAAATCCACTAAAAGATGAATTGTTCTCTTTACACATATCTTTTATGAGCAACAGATCTTAACAGGTGCACGACTATTCATAGTATAAGTGTACAGCAAACAGAGTGGTAAGTCTAATTTAAATATTAACAATTTGGGGCTTAAAATTGTAGGTAGGTTTAAAGTTAAATCACTGACTGGGGGCTGCCGTAGAAACCGGAAAGCACATATGCTTCAATATCAGACCATGCAATTTCAATGGATAAAAACCTCCGGAACTTTTTACTGCAAAGCAATAGTGTTGCCAAGTGAGCCTTCATGCGGCCGTAAAGCAGATTAAATATGATGCAAAATATTCATACTGATGCATCCTTATAGCTGATATTGTTTAGACCCACTCAGAATATAATGTGAACCTTTTAAAAGGAGAATAATGTAGTGATTAGAATGCTAACAATATGAGATCGAAAAGTTAATGACATGAATCTATCCTCTAAACTGAGGATGACCTTTTAAGGAAGTAGAGTGAGAAAGTTATAGCTTTTTTCTCTGCAGACAAACACCATGAGGGGCTGGGGATGCATGGAAAATGGTATTTTTGCATTTAAAGGTGCATGTCTAGAGGTCAAATCATGTGATTGTATTTGGAATCATTCTGTTGTTTAAGTCTTCTCTTCTGATCATGCAATGACCTTCTGGTGCTTTAACACTTACACAAACAGTTCCAACTTGGGTTTTATTACATAATAATTTATCATTGTATTTATTATGTGGCACAGTGTGTTACATTATTGCAGTGCTTTAACTACATGTTTTCAACTGGAGGATCTCTCACCTGAGAGTCATTAACCAGAAAAACAGTTCTTGTACTGTGACTCGAGTGGTGGAATTATTAATTCATCAGCAGTTTTGAATAATAAATGTCAGGGATATTTACCTCCCAAAATATTGCAATATGGCCTCTTTGTTTGAGCACACACACAGAGACACACACACAGACACATCCTCCACCTCCCTCTTCATCTCTTTTTCTCTGCTCTGTGAGGCAGGTTAATGGCAATAATAAAATCACACTCTGTATTTCCTCTGTGCTTTGAATGGCCTCATCAATTTACAGGCAGCGTGAAATGCTGAAGAAGAAACAAAAAAAGGGACAAGGAAATCATCCATGTCTAAAATACCTACGCTTCCCTAGCAGGCTTTTTATTCCTTTCTCAGTTTATAAATGAAAAGGTTATATAATTAGACACAGCTTGATGTATAGAACATCAGCTGACTGCCATATTCCTGTTTCTCATTAATTCTAGCCTAACTTAATTTCCTCTACCCTTCTATTTACATACAAAACATTGCAAAGACATTTTTTCAAAGAGTTGGCTTCTCTATGTGTGGGGTATAAATATGATACATTCATAATAACAAATAAAATCTCCCAGATTATATTCAAGTGATAATATTTTGCATTTGCAAGTAAAGGAAAAAAAACCTAATAAAACATCTTAAGGCAACAGCTAACATATAATGTCACAGAAGGAGAAGCAAAATATGAAGAAAGGTGAACATTGACTTACTGGTGGTACAGTTATTCCTGATACAATCTAGATGGGGAAAGAATAGATGAGAGATAAATTCATCTTTCAACGTTACAGCTGCAGACATCATCAAAGCATGCACTCCACCCCTCTGGGGACAAACACACGGACACTGTCCATTCTCTGGTGCTCTCACATGTTTCAGCCTCAAGATGGTAAAACTGCTGCTGTGTTGGAGTGCAAGAACAGCACTCTTTTTTTAATGTTATTGCAAAAGTCAAGTACTGAATGTATTAGACAGAGCTTAAGATATTTTACTAATCTAAAGGATTTTTTTAAAATGACAATAACATTGTGAGAGCATCAGATTATGGTCAGGGTCACACAAGGCCAACTGGAAGGTATCGTCATTATTCTCCCAAGGCTTCTTTCATGTACCAGTATAAGGTTAGAAAAAAAAAACATACGTTTTTATAAACATAGTCTAGCTCATGTACATACAGTATTGTTAGGACACTTGATTGGTCATAACTTTAAGTAGGTGTCATATTTTTTCTTTATATCTTTGTTGAAATTTCACCAAACATGCAACTTTGCACTGATTAGTGTTTTGTAATGTGTCAATATCAAAGCATGAGTTTATTATTCAGAACTTGATTTTGTCTTATAAATGCATAGGATACAGCCACAGAGGAATGCTCGGTTACCAATTTGCTAAAATGTTGTTCTTCCATGCATTTTTAATGTACAGGTACTGATTCAGATTTAATTTAGTCTGGCCTACATCTTTTAGTTCATATCCCAAAAAAATAAATAAATAAATAAATAAATAAATATATATATATATATATATATACACGGTATATATATATATGTTATTCAGCGTACAGTGCCTATGCTGGACTACTAATGTTTGTAAGGCATTTTTGTACAAGCATTTACAATGATGGAAGTTGAGTTGGATTAGTAAATATCAGGACTCAAAATATACAGTATTTAAAATACATACAGTATTTTAAAACTTCTGTCTGTGAGCTTTTAGCTGTCATCGGACATATAGGATTTCGACATTTTGGCAGCATGTTCAAAGGAAATAATAGAACAGATTTTAGAGCTAATGACCCTAACAACATTGCCAACACATATCTTTAGGAAGATTTGTGCAGTCAAACAGTTATAGAAAATTCCACTATAGTTTGTGATTCATTGACATTGGTTTCTCCTAAATAGTAACATGCCATCACTATTATACTTTCTAGCAATGATGGTGCTAGAAGCATGAAGCTAGAAGCAAGTAACACAAAGGATATTTTATATGTTATATACTAAATAATTGTCGCTTTCAGGACATTTTAACTATGATTTACACAATAAAACTTAAAAAGCCATTTTGCACATTGTAATAAAATAATTGTCACTGTTTTAAGTTCATTGTGTCCTTCAAATCTAACTAAATTCAATGTGAAAATTTTTAATCATATATCGTGAATCTTTAGTGTAAAGATAAACAACTAATGTATACAGCTGACAGGACCAAAATAGGTACAAATAGTTTAATTAAAAATAGTCTGGCTTAGAAATTGTTTGTATCCACAGATATCTGAGATAAAAATAACATGATTTAATACTTAAGAAAAGCATTTCACGGTGTCCAGCTGCAGTTATCTGTCTATATATATTTGAAATTTGATAATTAGATGTGTAAAAATATACTCTCAGTGCAAAGGGCATGTATTATTAAGTAATCTTTTTGTCCAAAACAAGTGATTACTATAATTCTACTAAATTTGTTTTGGTTTGTGTTGCTGTAACAAATTTGTTACTGATGAAAAGCTACCAAAACCGTGTAAATCTTTCTTTCCTTCTCTATTTGTTAAAGCTGAGCCTGTGCTCTGAGAAAGGTGATCCAAATCAAGCCCCCAACCCTCCCTTCCCATTTGGCCCTGCTTGTCATGTGTTGTCAACCACAGCAGAAAAGTGGTCGCAAACAGCCAGAGAACAACACAAGCCTACTCTTTCAGGGAATGCTCTACTTCTTTTTTCAAGAGGGACAAGGAAGACAGCCATCAAGGGCTGGTGGATCGGAAATAAACTCTGAAAGCTTTTAGATTTGTCAAAAAGAATTTGAAAGAACACAAACCAACACAGTCCTTTGTTTTCATCCGAGGGCATCGTTTTGCAGTGGTGCTGATCTAACTTGTCAGGCCTGTCAGTGTGTGGCGCTGTTGCCTTCTGCAGTTGGACACATGCTGTTTTTGAAGTTGACAGCAAATACAGGCTCTTCTACTTTGCATGCACAACTAAATGGCGCCACTTAGGAAGCCCATTTCTGTTTATCCAGTGAAAAGGTGGAATAGATTGCTATCATTTCTGTTGCACTGCAGTGTTTAAAGCACTCCCAACTTTTCAAAGACAGTACCGGGGTGTTGACTACACACACACACTCCATGCGCGCACACACTTTTTTTTTTTTTTTTTATAGTAGACTATTTTCTCTTTATTGAATATAGATAGATAGATAGATAGATAGATAGATAGATAGATAGATAGATAGATAGATAGATAGATAGATAGATAGATAGATAGATAGATAGATAGATAGATAGATAGATAGATAGATAGATAGATAGATAGATAGATAGATAGATAGATAGATAGATAGATAGATAGATAGATAGATAGATAGATAGATAGATAGATAGATAGATAGATAGATAGATAGATAGATAGATAGATAGATAGATAGATAGATAGATAGATAGATAGATAGATAGATAGATAGATAGATAGATAGATAGATCTGGCATTATTTCCAAAAGGTCCCCATATTTAGCAAAAACCTACATGCGTGAGAATGAAACACATTAGTTTGTGTTAGAAGAGAGAAATCTGATTTATCTAAATAAGAGGGTAGTGACCATTCCCTGATGATGAGAGGTCTTAGTGTGTTCAGCTGCCTGTGAGCCTCGAGCTGCAGACGTTGGACCTTGAAAGTCTTCACAGTCTCTCTGTCTATTCAAAACATGTAACGTAAATAGGCCCTTTGGAACACATATCTGAGTGCTGTCAAGACGGATCTGCTTTGCTGCAGCCAACTGTGAGCCTCTGAGGTGTTACCTAGATTGACGGTGAGACGGACCCGTCCACTTTCCAATTCAAGACGCAGAGTGTCAGCAGAGTCCTGGGACGTTGTGGCTATCAGCAGGCCATAGGCCCGTTGGGAGCGGAATCGAAGAGACACATCTTCAGCCTCTGTGTGCATAACCACTGGGAGCTGGACTTTCATAAACTTACTGCCATCGTAACTGAGAATGGTCGCCTCTGCAGAGGGAAGAAGAAAGAAAACATGATGAGTGAACTGTAAAATAGACTGCAGCAATTTTATGGAAAACCAATGACCACGGCTGTCAGTTCAGTGTAAAGTGATGTTGTATTTGTTGACAAGGTTTAGTGAGGCGACCTTCAATCCAGTCTCAGAGGAACGATGAATCGATGAGTTTAAGAGGCAGAGGGAGAGCCGGAGTCTCCCAGCAGTGAATGTGAATCTAATTCCAAGACAGATGCTGTCTGTGTTTATTCAATGAAAGGTTTTCACAACCAGCAAAATTGGAGACTTATTTTGATAAGTGATGATCCCATGTACAGTGGTGTTGAAAGCATTTACATCCACCCTCCAGGAATGTCCTATAAATTGTGGGCCATTAGAGATGCAGTGGAATGATGAGACAGCAAACAACTTACAATTAACAAACTATTAAAATTCAATACAGTTTCTTTTTTCATCCAAACAGGGTCAAAGTTAAATAAACAAAAAAAAAGTTTTCTAAATTATGGATACATACTCAAGAAATCTTACTATTAGAAATAGCAAAATAGCAAGTTAATTTACAAACTTGCTTTTTAGGTCTTGGTTTACACATTTTTGTCAAGGCTGAGGTGGGGGCATTTTCAGACTCTCATGGTTAGCCTTTTTCTTTTTTTCATTCCAAAACCAATTTTGATCTCTATTTGAGATTATGTAACACCAATATGCAACTTTTTACAGTCTGACATTAAAGTTTTTTAGACAAAAGTAAGTTGTTAAGGACATTCAAGAACAACCAAGAAATCAACAAGCCCCAAGCCTGTGAACATCAATAAAACATTGACACCCTCCACAGAGAAGCATGTTTTACATGGATATGGACCAGGAGAGTGCCAACCAACAGAGAAGATGCTCTACCTTCAAACTCTACTGAAATTTGATACTAAATTAAGATACCAAGTTCATTTGACCACTATTTGGTCAGAGATACAGTACACTTTCAGAGGTCTAATGTGGCTTTTAAACATAAGAATATTGTACTGTCTACAAAGCAATGTGGTGCTAAAAGTGTAATCTTTTTGGCTTCCTGTGCTAAATCACTTTACAGATCTAAGTCATTGTGACTGACTTCCTCATAGCTAAAATAATACTGATTTATAAAGTCAGTATCATTGGCTGTAAGGTTATATTTGTATTTAATGATTACTCATCATAAATAAAAATTATATATATTTAGGTTATATTACATTTAATTATTTTGACACAGAAACGTCCCAAAGAAATTCTCATATTTATACATAGAAATATCCCCCTTTTTAATAAAGTATTGTATTTATGGTGTTTTTGGCTTTCCATACCTTCTGCAACCTCATGTATTCCTTTATATAGACTTCTCCCTGTGTGAAAAGTTTAAATTTGAGCTCAAAATTGTAAGTTCAGAACCTTTCTTTAGCATGTCATGTTCTACAGGAGGATATTCTTTTTATTCACAGCTGTTTACCATATTAACTTTATTAATATTGATTGTAGTTATTATAGGATGCCTAGAACACTGCTTGCCTACTAGGGGTATAACATCTATAGAGAACCTCTCCTCAAAGCTAAGACATTTTCTTAGGGAGCTCATGTTAGATATGTTTTAACAACCTGTTTTGAAAAGCCAGTAAAACTCTTATATAATTGCATTAATTTATATAAATTATGTTCTAGTAAGCAGGCTGTTACTGCAGGAGTGTTTGGAAAGGAAAGGTGCAGCTGGAGATGGAGAGCTATAGAGAGCAACGGGGGCAATAGGGTACTAGTGCATTCACACCAACCTCATGACCACTTTCTCATCACACAGAGCCATGGTGTCACATCATCCCTTGGGATGACTCTGTCACATTCCTCACCCAAATCCAATTTCTCCATGCCCTCCTGGGGCATGCTGCATATGATAGGTCATTTGACAAACAAGTACCCATTGCTAAACCGTCTGCTTCCTGCCAGGCAGCTAAAGCAAAGAGCTGTTCAGAAAATGTTGCACGATGTGAAATGAAAACTGTAAAAGAACTGATATGAGAATTTATACATGGAAAAAATAAAATATCAGCCATATTCCTAATGTAATGAATGGAGATATCAGTTGCTTTTTGGATTAAAGAAAGCACTAAACATCTATCTATGACAGTACTGGTAAACAATGACAACCAGCAGAACAAATCAAAATGATCTTATTTACCACCTCATAATTGCTAAAGTGCTCTCATTAAACTGTAAACAAGCAGGGAAAGTCAAATAGAGTGTGGAATAATCAAATATCTTGATTATGCAGAAAATGAGCTCATCTATACCCTAAATTGGCTCTGCAGCTTGTCATTACTGCTTAACTTAATTTCCAGCTGCATGCAACAAACATCATTAAATTTGATGAATGGGTTCATATTACTACGAAAAGAAACATCTTTAATGTTCGAGATGAAAATATTTCTGTTTTCTAAACATACAAATAGGGAAATCGTTCTACTCAAATACATAACAGTGACATCATTAATCCCTGCTGCATTAACTATGGAACTTTATCAACATGTTTCCTCCACTAAGATTAATTTAATAGATTTTCTACAATACATTTAATGAGAATGCTACTGCATAAAGATATAAAAATATGAGGAAAGACCTGTGAGGGAATATCACCTAATGCAAAGTGAGCACCTGTCAAAAATCCAATTGTGCAGGCCCAGTCATTTTTAATGCCATTCCCATGTTCAATATAAAAATAAATTGAGGGGACAGGAGCAGCAGCTTCTGCCTGTGCCAACTCGAACTGAAAGCTACCGCAGGGAAAACGGAGTGCAGCAGACTAAACCAAGTGTTTATTTTCTATCCCATAAAGCACAATGTGGGACAATTTTCAGATTTTCTGATGAAGGAGTAGCTGGAGTGGGAGCTTTCTTAGAGAAGGCGGGATGGCTAACAAGGGAGGTTCAGGTAATCACAAACAGGAACCCAGTTGTCTTCTATTGTCCTCCAAGGAGAGCTGACTCTATGAGAAAAGATAGATGTCAGCTACATGTCAAAATTCCAGTGTCCCTGAGCAACAGGGCACTGGGCTCAGCCTGATTCAAAATGTGCAGGTAAAAGAACTGCTGCAGGGTTTGGAAAATAAATCTACACAAAAAAAACAATAAACAGCAATAATTGGCTTTGGTACATCCTGCATATTCAATATATACTTTGCTGTAGTCTTCTTTTAAAATCACAGCAGATATTTTAGAAATTGCCCTGCCAGGTATTAAAACACCCTATGTGCTAAGAGAGTTTCAGGGAAGCTCATTTTTACCTCTAGAGACACAGGCAGCAGCATAATGACCCACTTTAGTTATGAAACCATAGAACATTAGCAAATTCAGTTTTTCTGTGACTTTAAAGCAAAGTAAGATTCTATCCATTTACAATATTTGGAATGATAACTTGAACATAGTCTCTAAGGGCCACATATGTTTTAGGAAAACAGTCCCATACTGTATGGGTCCTGCTAAAACAGTGGTTACCAAGTGTGGGGTGCACACCCTAGTGATGTCCAGAAGTCCTTATAGATCATCCAGTTTTTATTTTGTATTTTATTGATTGCAATATAATAATATTATAATATAATAATATTACACAGTAAAGAAACAGTTAAATAATTGAGTTAAATTAACAAGCTTGTTTTTTAAAGGTGATTGAAGTTAACTATTGAAAATTTTAATTTATTGCAGATGACTTTGGCTCAATAAACTGTTGACAAGGTTGGTTATGGGTGAGGGTGGAGGAGGAAGCATTGAAAGCCAAAGGGGTCTCTAAATGTATAAACAACTGAGTCGGCATAGAACAGAAGTTTACAACTCCCTTTTTCTAGGGTCAAGGTCAATTCAAATCTTTAAGGGGAAAGTTTCAGTCAAGTCCCAAGTCTTATAGATTGGGATCTCAAGACAGGTGATTTAAACATTTTCTTTTTAAACCCATGTCCATGACCCATATCTACAGTAACGTTGCATTGTCGGATGTTTGGATTCCAAACCTATACTGTGTCATCAGGCCTAAATAAAACACCTTTTTCTTTGATTCTGTCAAAAATCAATTCACCATCTGAAAAACTGCACCAAGTTCTTGGTCTTAACGAGTTGTCCTTACATCAGCAAATGCACCTGCTTCTTACACTTATCAGTTAATGCAGCTCACAATGATGGTTTGTTTTTGCCATACTTGCACAGTGTGCAATTTTTTTATGTACTTGTTTATACCTAAAGTGAAATTAATCACAGCTCTGCCTTGAAATGACCGATGCCAAGATGATGAAAAGCTGTTATAAACTTCATAATGAACTCCAAATGCCTGCAGATGGCTGCAGCAAGTCTATTTCTGTTAGGTAAAATGTTTGTCTGGTTGTGCCTAGTAATTTGCCATCTCTGATATTTTTGCTTCGAAACAAAAGTAAATATGTTATATGCATATTTACAATTTGCAATTTACCAAGGTTTGATACAACAATGTTGACTAGAGGGAACTTATTTTTTTCTGAATTTCCAAAAACAGAAATAACAAAAAATATTTCTATTATATTTTATGTCTTTACTCTGTGTTTCTTTCAATTTCAGGTGCCACACAGATGAAACAGGACTGCAGAGAGGGCCTAATGGCGAAGCTAAGAACGACATCAACTAAGAACAAATCCAAACAGACCACCGCTACCATCAATCTTCCTCTCCAAGGTTCACTCATTGGATAACAAAATTGATAATCTCTGACTCAAACTCTTTTCAAAAAAGAAGATTAGTAACTGCTGCGCATGATTCTGACAGAGTCTTGGCTTCATTCAGCAATACCGGACAATGCTATTAGCCTGGAGGGGCTAACCTTATACCATGCCAAAGAAACAAAGAACTTAGCATTTAGACTCATGGTGGTGGGTTTTGTCTGTACATCAACAACAGCTGGTGTAAAAATGCTTGATTGACCGCCAACTTCTGCTCTATAGACATTCAGTTTCTGATTG